CTGCCTAGGACACTCTTTACATCCTCAGCTCTCTTCGTCTGGCGAAATTCTGCTCTTCCTTCGGGTCCCTGAGTCCTCTCCTATACAGCCGTGTTCTACTGGCAGGGCCTCTATCACACTGAATTGTGACGATATGTTTACTTGTCTTCAGCCCCCTTAGGTTAAGAAACATGAGGAATCAGGAACATCTTGTTCAGCTTTTTTAACCCAGAATTGTACTCACAGTCTGTGTGGTATACAGTAGGTGCTTAGTGATCATTTATTGATCGAGTGAATGTAATTTCCATTTGTCCCTTTATTAATTTTTTTTTAGCCTTGCTCAGCCATCTGTGTAGATCGATGCTCTTCTCAACACACTTTTCTAATCTTATTGAACAAAAAATGTTTTCAGGATTGAGACCGTCTCCCCTGATAGCTCAATGTCCAAAGAAGAATTTCTTTTCAAGAGTTCCTAGGAAGGGATCCACAGCTTTTTCAAAAATGCAGAAGACTTTTTTTTTTTTAATCTAGGAATCCATGCCTCTAGTGAAGCTAAAATAAATATACTGCCTTAGTCATCACTATTCTCTTAAACCAGTTTGAGGAAACATGTTTTGCTTTTTGTTTTAAACAGGAACAGATTGCTCAGAGTTTGGGGGAGCCAGACACGAATCAGAAAGTCCTTCCTCTTTCATTTTACAAGTCCTTGAACTCTGCCCAGCCCTGAGATATTTACTGAGCTGCCCATGGAACAACCTTCTTTCTCTTCTCCAAGCAACCTTGTGTGGTATTGAAGAGGGAGAGAAATCACGAGCACTCCTCCAGCACCCTGCCTCCCTTGGCAGGTCTTTTCTGAAAGAGCATTTTTACAAATGTTAGCTGTTTACCCAAATAATCCAGTTTCCCTTAACAATTCATGAATTCTGCTCACCCTGGACCCAGGAAACTGAACCCAAGTGGCCTGAGTCTAAACGGGGAGAGGAGATTGGGGTTGAAAATTAACTCTTCAGCTGCTGGACAAGTTCAGCAAGCTGTGGAATGATATCACTCACCAGATCAAAAGAAGATATCTGCTCCAAAAGTCTTCTGATATCTGCTCCAAAAGTCTTCTGGCATTTTCCCTCTGGCTCTGGACCAACCTGTTCGTTTTTTAATTTTTGGAAGTGGATACAAGGAAACCAACATTTACTGAGTTCTTTTTATGTGCCAGGCACTGGGCTAAGTGCTTTCCATGCATGATCTTATTTAATCATCCACACAACCATGCGAGATATTTATTTTTAATCCTCATTTTACAAAGAAGTAGATATTCAGAGAAAGCAAGTAACTTAGCCACTTAAATAATCCATATCTAACGAATTCAAATCCCAGTATTTTTTTACTCCTACACCTGGGGATTTTTAACTGGAAATCATAGGAACGTGCCCAAACTTTTAAAGGCAGCACAAAAATGAAAGTTCTACACAGCTCATTACGTCATAACAATAACCATTTGTAGTGACCAATAGTTGATCCTAGCCAAAATATTGTCTCCAACTATATTGGTATACTAAGTCTTTTCTGAAAGAGCATTTTTATAAATTTTAGCTGTTTTCCCAAATAATCCAGCTTCCCTTAACAATTCATGATGATTTCAACATCCAGAAGTTAAGTATTCTCATCTTAAACAATAGCCCTAAGCACTTCAAATTTCCCTTAGCATTGTATATGTACAGCATCTATCCAGGGATATTGTAATGATTTGTGTATCTTCTCCGCTATGGTATGAGCTCCTAAAGGACAGGAAGGCAGAGAGAATGCAATTCATTTCTGTGTTGCTTAACCCAAGGCCTGGCACACACGGTTACTTATTATAGTTTGTTGGACTGATCTAGCAGAGACCACAGTTATAAAAGCAACTAGCTGTAATGCAATTTGATAAGAGCTGACATCAAAATACATTCGAGAGGCCCTGGCCAGTGTGGCTCAGTTGATTGGATCGTCACCCCATACACTGAAAGGCTGTGGGTTGGATTCCCAATCAGGGCACATACCTGGGTTGCAGGTTTGTGGGGCGCATACGAGAGGCAACCGATGGGTGTTTCTCCCATTGATGTTTCTATCTCTCTCTCTCCCCCCCCCTAAAAAAACAATAAATATGTCTTTGGATGAAGATTAAAATAAAAATAGGTTTAAGATTAGAGATAAGCATGTAAAAACAATCAATTAATTCTCTTTAGAGGAGGGGCTGTTGGGGAAAATTACACAATGAAATGAGGGCACCAGGTGGAGCAGGGATGGGAAGAAGGCCGTTTCAAAGACGCAGACGCTTAAACAAAGGCAGTGAGGCAGGAAGATATGGCCAGAAGCTGAAAGAGGGGCCCGTGGGTCTGTCTTCTTGAACTTTGGAGGGAAGCAAAGGAAAAAGAGCAAGAGTCAAAAGATCTGAGAATTTTTGTCAACAATATCAAATTGTATCTATTTCTTGACATTTTGTGCTTAATATATTATTTAAGGTGTGGTGTAGGCCGGAGGCTCTGATGTCTGGAGTCTGCTTGTGAATAGGCCATCCCCTTAGATTGCTTACTCCCAATACCCCTTGTAGGACTTCAGGGGGAGTGAGGTTGAGCGACCCATAAGGCTGAGGATCATCAATACTGAGGAAGCCTCTTAGGAAGGTAGAGACGATCTCCTACCACTACAAGTAAGAAATGAAGTGTTTACACATCAACATATCCCTGAATTGGTTCCTTCAGGGAGCCCCATCTTCTCTCCCCAGTGAATTTTCTTCTATATCTCAATCCAAATCCCAGGGTCCTAAGAACCCAAATAGAAAACAGCCAAACTTCAGTGAGCTCTTCACTCTTGGTTCAATAAGCTATGGCCTGATCAGGTGGGAAATCATTGTGTCCGGGGCAACTCGTAACGGAAGTGGATCTGTTTTCAAAGGAAATGCATCGTATAATAAAAGCCCCTTACCTTTCTCTATAATTCCGTTGGCCCTGCCAGAATTTAGATTTTTAATCCAGACCTTTTAACAAATGCATCTTGTCCTCGGAGGATGTTTTCCAAACATTTAAAAAGCATAGAACCTTTTATGCTCCCCCAGCAAAATAGTTCACTATAACCCAAGATGTAAAACAGTAGAAAGCAGAGCTGTTCCCACTGCCCTGGGAGTGGGAAGGGAGAGGGAGTTTGTAGAGCATACCTCCTCTGTACACTTTGCTTCCCCGTGACCCCGGAAGCCCAGCCTCAGCCCCCGGGGAAGCTACTGCCCCTGTATTTATGACTGATGACAGTCACTTCCACTGCTATAAAAATATGTTACATTTCTGTTTCTTGACTTGTCAATGTGAGTATCTTTTGACTGCCCACCGTAAAAGATAAAGCACCTTAACTCAATTCCACTTCCCCCCTCTCCCTTCCTAGTTTGAAGAGTTAACTTATCTTTAGTCCTTTGCTTCATGACTGTTAGAACTTTACATATTATGATTAAAGAGTATTTTTCCCCTTTCACTTTAGGCAACTCATCTCTCCACAAACTAAAATAGCTCCCCTGTACTGCCCTCTACCCCTCCCCCACTTCTGAACATCTGAACACAGGACAATTAATAGGCTTTCTATGAGTCATTCACACTCCTTGATCCACTCTGTCGCACAGAGTATTTATTCTCTTACTTGTCTATGAATGCAAAGTTTATTTTAGAGCATAAGCTCCAAAGAAGTGATGAGAGAGGTGGTTTATATTCTTTTCAATGGCACCCCTCACAGGAGACGAAGCAGGCAGATACGGTGCGGTGGTACAGGTTGAGGCCGGTGGTCCAGCTGGTGGAAACCGTCGTCACTCATTTCAGGAAGCTGAAGGTCTACATTTGAAACAATCTGAGGCGAGCGACAAAAGGAATGGATTCCTGCAGAAACTCAAGCATCCCTTAGATCTCATGGTCCATTTTACCTTCACTAATGCCACAATTTTTGTTATTCTGTACAACACAATGGAACATCGGCCCATTCATGCACTGGTAGAACCATTTTCAATTAGCGGCAGCCAGTGTCCTGGTGGCTTTGTCCAGAAGATCCCATGCCATAATCACGGACAAATATTGTACAGTTTGTGAAGTGCTCGTACTCTTTCACCATGGCTGACAAGTAAAGTCATCCCTCAGCCTCTTCCCCATGCTCTCTTCTACTTTCCCACTTTCCCAGCCCTTCTATGAAACGAATCAAGACACTTTTTCAATCAACCTTCTGCATCAACATAACCTCCCTCTGTGAATGATTTTCTTAGTAATTCACTGACTCTCTTGGGCTCACTTTGGTTTCTAGGTAATTGGCCAGTAATTCAACTCTCCTGTTGGAGAAGGTGCTGAGAAACTGATGAGGGAAGAAAACTTTCATTAGAGCTAAGTCGTCGATGGCTTTTATAAGTGGTGATAAAACACTAAGGATACGCAGGCAGAACAGATGATCCTGGTAGTGCTAGGAGCAGGAATGGGTCCCTGGGGATTCTGTCGACTAGCCTTCTCTGCAGTTTTCTCCTTCAGCTGTTCTTATTTGGCTATGGCTTTAGGATGTCTCAGTCCATGGGCCAGAGGGGCAAATGTTATGAGCTTTCAAAGTACCATCTAGTCGAGGTGCATTGCTCATCAAGTCTTTAATTGATTTTGAGTAACAGAATTTAGACACATTTTTAAGTGTGCAATCTTATTTGATCTTCCTAACAATACTGTGAAGTAAAAAGACTGATATTATGTATTCACTTTATTTTTCAGATTAGAAAACCATGATTTGTAGGAATCAGGTGTGTTTCACAAGGTCCCATAGCTAAGATGCTGCAGAAGTCTCTTGTACCACACTAAGAAGTTGCCTTTTCCACTTACAACTCAGGACGCTACCAGAAGGTTCTCTGGGAATGACAAAGTTTAACTAGTAGTTTGCCAGACAGGATTCATGGGGTATGATCACCCACCAACTTGATATTGTCTCGGTCTCCTTTTAAAGGTTAATTGATGGGGAACATTCTTCCTCTGAAATGGATGGAAATTCAAAAGTCCCATGATTCTTCTGATTGCCCCGGGAATCCAGCTGTTCTTTTATGCTGCAAACAGGATGTCAAGTGCATAATTAAGAGTGTCCAATTACATGCAACAATCAAACCTTCAAACCTTCAAACCAGATTTGGAATTAAAAGTCCTCCTCCCTCCCTCCTGTAAGATGTTTGCTGGGTGGGAAGTCAGGGAAACGGTTGGCTAGGAGAAGGGGAATCCTTCTTCCTTGTGCCTTCCTTTTACTGTTTTGCTAATCTGGTTGTGATCCTTCCTTCCAAGGCCAAAAAGTATTGGGAGGAGACAGAAGAGATTGGGGTTAGACAGGAAACATCTCATCTGACTAGTACAATTGTAAAATGGCCCTGCACTCTCTGGCCAATAACACTGACTCTTGTTGGCTATTTTATGGGTTCTTAGAAAGAGCCCCCTCACGGAGGACTTCTCATCTGAGATTCCCTTCATATGACTCCTCCAGTTCATCCATCGAAAGCCTGCCTGACGGATGCCTTTTAGATTTCTCAGACAGGAGGAAAACTCTGGTCTTCTTTGTATCTTCCTTTCATATTAAGTTCAGTGAGTGCTCCTAAGTCCCTTGCACTAGGGTTAAGATAAATGGGAAGGTACCTTATTCTGCCCCCTTGGGGAGAGTTAGAATCCCAGCCCAGCTCTCTCCAAAGAAATAATACCCTTTCAAATCCTTCCTCAACCCCATTCTTTTGGACCCTTGTGGAGTAAGTTTGTAGTCATGTAATTGGTTTTGAGACAGAAACGTTGCATTTTTACCTGGACTCTCTCCAGGAAATATATCTATTAACTCTATGTGCCTTAGTCAAAATTTTCAAACATTGTATCTTATTACATCAAGTAAGAATAAAATATGACCTCCACTCTTTAAAAGCTTCCTTCCTAACTGGGAAGGCAACCAACACACGAAACTGCAGGAGCATAGAGACAGCATTAACCACAAGTGCTACAGACGCGCAGTAAATGAAGACTCACCAGGGGCTAGACTAATACATTCGATAAGCCTTGTAGTAAAACAAGCAAAAAACTAGAACAAAGCAGGCATTCCAGGGAGAAAAAAAATCACCATTAATAAAGAAAAGCATGTGATAAAAGTGATCGTCATATTTTAACTAGCACCTCAAATTATCTCTTCTCTCCATTTCTATCACTGTAGCCTTCGTCCCTTCAGGCCAGCACTCTCCCTCACCTTGATTAATAACCTCTCGGGTGGTCTACCTACGTTTATTATCCCTCCCCTCCACCAGTTTCTCTCAGCTTATTCTTGTCTGGATGATCCTCCCCTCCAGATTCATCTTTAGTTGTTTTTCCTATTCCGTCATCCCAGAAATTCCCCGAAATCTCTGTATTATTTTGCCTCCTTTCCGTGCACTATTCTCCACCCGACTCTCCTACTCCCTCCTCGCCTTCACCTGGTGTGTTTGATGGTGCATCTGCACTCTACCCATTCTCATCGCCTCCTAGTGTACCTTCCTCTGTATAGCAAAGCCTAGAAAGCTAACAATCACATTTCCCAGATCCTGGGCGTGAAAGAGCTGTCATGCATCAGATACCATCACTCAGAGATCAGAAGGTGAAAACGAAGGAGCCCACTCCCGCGGTGGCTGTGTCCTGTGGGCGAGGGAAGCCGGGCGGATACGGACATTTCTGCGCCCAGCTGCCTGGGCGGTGTGGGCAGCGGGGTGGAATCAGCTGCCTCATTCCAGCTTCCTGACCTCTGGTTTCAATCACAGCATCCTGCTTTTGAAATCAGTTGGTTCACTGGGCCTTTTGATTCCCACCTCCTAAATGTGATAAAATAGTAGCTCCCATGATAGGTGGCGTTCTGGGAATCATTCCTGGAGACCCGTGGTAGAGCTCATTTTTCTAGCTCTTCCAATAATTTCATAGGTATATAAATCCCTATGCTTAATCCCTTTCTGCTTAAAATACTTAATGTGCCTTCTTTTCCCTACGCGAAAGCTTGTTTGGTCCACTCTCTGATGCGAAGTCATTCCATAGGCCCTAATTCAAGTGCCCCTTCATCTAGGAAACCTGCGCTATCCACAAGATGAGCAAAAACCGGAGAGTGTTCTAAGTGCAAGTTCACATTTTCTCCCAGCACTTTCACAGCACCTTGTATGTGCTGCTGTCAGTGTCCATGTGCCCCAGAATAGGAGCTTGTCCTGATACTCTTCTTTCCTCCTTGTTAGACTTCCCTTCTTCTATTCCAGAAGGAGGCACTTTGCCATACCCATTTTGGTACCCAAGCTCCTAGCACAGTCTCCACTACATGATAAAACATCAATGTATGTTAAATGAATTAAGGACTACATGGAGGGATGGAGGGATAGAGTATAAATAGCCCTTTACACTAAAGCAAATAACAATCTTTAGTGAATCACTATTTTTCTGTTTATATATATATAAACTTATAATTGGGCAGGTTTTTGCTTGTTTGTTTGTTTCTTTGTTTTTTGGTCCTTATACTGAGGATATTTTTTAAATATCTTCAACTAACTCATGGAAGTCAAATAGTAGGACTTTCTCTTTTTTTAACATTATTTTTGTTGTTGACACTATTACAGATGTCCCCATCTCCCCCCCCACACACACACGCTTTGCCACCTCCACCCAGCCTCTCCTTCCCTCTGGCCATCACCACACTGCTATCTGTGCCTGGGGGTTATGCACATTTGTGCTTTGGCTAATCCCTTCACCTTCTTCCATGCA